CACATCCTGCCTGCCTATAACTACACCCAGTTAATCCATACTGGAGGTTTCATCCTCTGATGAGGTGACAGCTCTTTCAATCTAATCAACCATTGCTCTCTGAAGTTCCAGCACTGTACATCAGGTTTGCACTTCACACAACATGACAACAGTCGTAAAGTCCGACCCTGTACTGAAAGCTAGCTGAAGACGCAGCCTTTCTCTAAACTGTCTGCTTTGGGACAATGCAGAAACAGAGGGTACATGAGGCTACTCCCATGTTATTCACAGAAGTGACATCATCAGCGGCCACATGGCCCCTGGAAAACTGCCCTGGGCCCTCCCAAGAGATTGTGTGGAACTGTCCCCAAGCCTGACTCTATCTTGCACAGTGCTTCTGTCTCCCTGAACCTGGTTTCCCAACACTATCTAGAGGGTCATGAGAATATCAGAAAAATACCAAAACTTTCTGTGTGTACTCTGAGCTCCTTCATGCTCCCTTCCATTTATAGAACATCTGTTTTGTCACATCCAAAACTTAATCCTCACAATAATACTGAATTCCTGAGAATAGTTGGGCAGGGATGGTGAGCACTTCCTAGGTGTAAATACTGAGGCCCCATGGCTTGCCCAGACCACACTTCTGCCTAAGTCAGGACGAAACACCCAAAGTCCTAGAGTCCAAATCCCACTGTCTCTCCTCACACCACTTTTCCTTCCAGCGCCTTCCACATTCCCCAGGGCACCGACATGTGTGTGCAGACACAGGGGCTCAAATCAGCGCAGAGGTGTAGCAGCAAGCCAATTAGCACCAAATACACCCCCAAGGAGAAGCACAATTCACACATGGGCAGTGGACTTTGGCATCTGGTGTCCTTGTCCTGACAGGACTCAGCCCTTGTCCAGCCTGAGCTGGATGGTGGTCCCCAGACTGTGGGACATTTCACACTCGTCATTCCTCATCCTGCAGCCGTAACCTGGAAACTCAGATACCCATCTCATTCCATCTGAGAAGATGGGTCTCAGAGAATAAGATTCAGAGGACAGACATTTACAGAACCTCTTGCTACATCTGTCTTCTGTCACTACATTCTCAAAGAACCAAGAAAACAAACAAGTACACACACATAATTCATCACTCAACCCAAATTCATTTCCCTTAACAAGGAAGCTTAGAATTAGTAATTTATAAGGAGAAATGATTTTTTTCCTTTTTTTTATTGGTTGTTCAAAACATTACAAAGCTTTTGACATATCATGTTTCATACATTAGATTCAAGTTGGTTATGAACTCCCGTTTTTACCCCAAATAC